CAACCCGTTGAACTGTTCCATCAAATGTACATTATATGTTGTCACAACCACCTACACACAATGCAAACGCGCTTCCTTCTTTTTGACAGCAATGAGAAACGGATGTTGCTCAGTTTGACGCGCACGCCGCAATGCAAACACATGGACCAAGGGCACACCCTGAATCCTGCATTTCTACGGCACGAGTGCACATCCCAACCCCCCCAGGGAGGGGAGGACGGCATGCATCAAAACTGCTCGGCTGAACAGGCTGAACTTTGGACAAGCTCCACTGCGAATGGACTTAAGCCATTCCAGAGCTCAGCAAAGTGAACATTTTGGCCACGCAAGCTACAACCAACCAGGCTACATCAACGACATCATTGGGCAAACTTGTGTCAATCAACTGATTCAATCAACTTGAGCGAAAACACAAAGTGGCCAACCCCATGAAGCGGATACGTGAAATCCACTTCGACTTGAGACATGACTGTGGCCTACTTGTCCGACCCCTCCGCTTCGGGAAGGTCACGCAACAATGTCCAGAGGCTCAACAACTGGGAAGCATCTGGGTTGGAGATTCGCGCCGGCAAACATTTGCTTTGGCCGCTTTGGACTCAGTATCGGGGACGCTCAGCCGCAAGCCAGCGCACGGGGAACCATCCAAAACCCTCTCTACCACAAGCATTCCGCTTGGAATGTAGATCACGTCGCCTTCATCAACAATGGCAGTCTCGAACAGGCCATCCTTCTGCAGCATGGACTTCACGATATCATTCTTTGAACCGAGCACCTCCGCCATGAAGTTGATGATGGTGTAGGCTTCAGACCAAATGCCTTTTTTCTGGCTCAGGACATCATCTGGCAGGAACCGCCACAAGTCATCGAAGTTGGCAATGGTGATGGAGTCTGCGCCAACATAAGTCATGGTGCCCAGGAATCCAAACAAGGAGATTACAGGAGATTCCTTTAAACTGGGAATTCTTCCTGGCCTTCTCAAACACAGACTCATCAACCCACGGTGGCATGTAGGCAGTCAAGTGTCCATGACATCGTTGAAGACGGCCGCATCCAACTTCTGTTGTAGAGGTGCCTGGCAGCGCTCTCCGCCATTGACGCAGGTGGGCGAGTTCGGGAATTCCGCTTGGAAGATCTGGAGCAAGGATGCCAAGCTGCTCTTGCTTCTGAAGAGCTCAATCCAGTCGTTGGCCTTCTGGATAACATAGGCGCGGGACCAGTGGCTTGGGCGCAGTCCTTGGAGGTACAAGCCGTGCGCCAGGCATCATCGCCTTCAAAGATCTTGATGCCCTTAAGCTTCGCGCGAACATCATCTTCAAGCAGCGAGGAGCAAATCTTATTGCTGGCATTGCCTTTCTTGAGAGCTTCGCTAAGCTCCTTAGCTTTCTTCTCAGCCGGCTTCTCTGCTTTCTTCTCCTATGCCTTTTACTCATTCTCCGCGCGCCGATGCTTGGCCTGCAAAGCTCTTGTTAAGTCAGCCGAAGCGCGAGACACTGAATTGCAGATGCTCTGGAGATGCTGCACAACTTCCTTCAAGAGAATGTCAACTGACTTCACAGCATCCTCTGTCATAGCCCTGTTGAACGCACTGAAGACATGAGTCTCGATGTCTGCAGGGGTCACATCCAATCGATTCCAGCCGGCACGCAGCTGGCGGCACAAGACAAACTCCAAGCAAGCATCTTTGAGATCATACGGCCGCCAGGCTTCATCATGAAGCGAGTCAACATCCAGCAAAGCTGCCTTCACGTCCTTGACGAGGTTGCTGCCCTTGATCTCTTGAACGATTTGCTTGCACTTGCCCTTGTCCTGCTGGGCGGCTGCATTCTTCAACCCCCACAGCAGCTTGGCGCCTTTGACAATGTTCTCAACAGAGCGCACAGCGTCAGGTCGCTGCAACATCCTCTTCTCCTTCGCGTGGGTCTCAGCAGCCTCTCGTCAAGAAGCTGTCAGAACAAGGCGCAGCACTTCCAGACGATCCTTCAACGTCTTGTGGTAGGACCTGAAGGACGCCATCTCATTTTTGTCGACGTCAATGTTGCTCAGGGCGGCTTGGGCTTCATTCTGCACCTTCTCGCAAGACGAGCGAAAGCCGTTGAAGTCAGCATTGATCTTGTCCTGCAGCTTGTTCTTTGCGGAAATAACGTCATATCATCGGCGCCTGAACAATGAGCTTTGGGTTCGTGGTTTAAGACTAGCAGGATAGGGGCAGGGGTTCAGGAGTTTCGTTCTCAGTTTTTACGGGGTTTCAGAGCTCAGAATGTTGGGGTTCAGGTTTGACACGAATTAAGAGTTTAAGACTACGAACAACAATCATGCCAGAGATCACATATGTTCAAAACCTCACCGCTCACACCAAACTTCCCGGGCCTCTTCTTGGAATCCGGCATGGCCTGCTTCTCGGTGGAGTCTGGCGCTTCTTCTGTCCCACTCACCGGCCACTTCGTTCTTGGAGCGCTGGAAGCTGGCATGGAAGCGTAACAAAGCTTGGGAGGAATCTCTGACAAACCCAAGATTGACGCAGCTTCCTTCAAATCATCTGCCTCCGGCTTCTTCTTGATCTTCTCGCGCACTTCGAGGGCGCCGGAGTGGCGCTCGGACTGCCTAATGTCAACATCTTCTTCGTGAGGCATGGCCAACCAGAGGGTCTTGCCCTCCATGCGCTGCTTCTCGTCCTGTTTCTGCTTTTAGTTCCATTGACCATCCGAGGCGGAAAGCTCTTATCTGTTTGGACTTCGCGCAGCCACCTGGAGAGAGGCATCAACAACAGCCTCTGTCCGCTGCTGTTGTGGTCCTCTCTTCCAACGTTCCAAAACCGTCGCATCAATACTCGCTTGCGACTTGCCTCTGCCAGATGAAGGGTCACAAGTCCTGAGAGAAGCCAGGATGAGCGCATGAAGGGCGGGTCCTACTCAAATCGCTTCTTCTCTGGGTCACGGAAACCCTCTTTTTTTTCTGATTCGTCACATTGTTCAATCCACGTTTGCGTTGAACTCCGTAGCGACTTCTAGAGACTCGTTCCTCTTGGAAACAACACTGACAAGGGTTGGCGAAGCCACTTTTTATCCGCGGCTCAGCCCAAGCCGGCGCATTGGGCTGAGCCGGCTGGTTCAAGTCAAAGTCAAAGTGCAACTCACCCATCGCAGCAAGAAAGCAGCAAGCTACAAGATTGAAACTCCGACACTTCAATGGCCACTAAAGCTCAAACAAGCGGTCAAGCTCCGAAAATCAATTTGATGCACGGCAATCAGACCTGCAATTAGCAACTGCGACGGTGGCAATTAATGTTCAATCTGCAGAAGCCTTAGACACAGCTGCGTCTGAAGCAGCAGCTAGCTTCTTCATAGCAGCCATTGCCAACTGCAGGTTGGAGAGCTAGTGTTGTCTTTAAGGAACGCCCAGGCCCACCTCTTATCTCCTGGTTCAAGACGAACAGCCGTCTTGATTGGAGCCATCTGCTCCGCGGCGTTTGATAGAAGCGCTGCTCCAGTCCACCCAGGCGCTCTTCTGAGACTGGAAAAACTTGGCCTTGGTGGGCGTCTTCGGCCGACAAAGCGCAGACAGGCAGCGCCTTCTTAAAGGGGAGACCGCAAACTATGCCAAGCTCTCCGCCGCTTTTGCGCAGAGCCTTTACATCTGCAGGCTGGAAGCGCGGCGGCTGCGCTTCTCATCACTAGAAACTTGCACAAGCGCTGTGGACTGCGTGGCCTCGGTGACCTTCCCAGGGCTGCGACCTCGCTTTGTGGGCGGTAACTTGGAACTCGAAGACGTGGATCTTTTCTCCTCAAAGCATCCATGATGGCCAAAATCGGCGGCGAAGTCTTTGAGCCGCTGGTCACACTCTTGCCCGCTTGGCGACAGTGTGTTACCGTCGAGATCATGGCCTGGCTAAGAGCGGTCGAGTCTGCAGCAGACAAGCTGAACGTCTCAGCTAAAGCTGGAGCCAAGCTAGTCTTCACCAACCGGTCTGTGAAGTACATCACCTCTACGATGCCATCACGAAACAAAGCTGCCACTGAAGGTGGGTCAAAGGATGGCTTGTCCAACCACTCTTGCAGGGAGGTTACACTCACGTGCGCAGTTAGGATGCGCGAAAGCTCCCTTGAAGTGGCAGTGTTGCGAGCGCGAGTGCCCGACATCGCGCCACCACTAGCCGGCTTAAACTGGCTGCGCTAACCGTGCACAACGCTTTCACGCTCAGGTCGCTCATGCCAACCGTGAAAAAAAACAATCATGCACAGCGCTTTCACGATCAGGTCAATCAGGTCTGCTCACGCGCACGCCAACCATGAAAAAAACAAACATGCTCAAATCTAGCTGCTCAAACTGGGCAAAATAACATCATGCTCGAACCTGCTCTTTGAAACCTACTTTGCGAAATCCAATGCTTCATGCTCCTTCCAAGCAAAAGCCAGACGTGCAGCTACTCAAAGATCACATTTCAAAGATTCAAAATCGAAGGTCATGGAACCCTTCCACGCACACGCCGTATAATTAAGGAGCCATGTATCTAGCTCCTGGCCGAAAAAAGGAGTACGATGTACTCCTGGATCATGCACGCACGCACATCCTAATGAATCCCTAAATGTTCAAAAATTATCAACATGAAGCTCAAAAACACTCCCATGGATCAAAAAAATCTATCTAGTGTCCTGTATAAACAAATGCAAATTATACATTACTTTAGACCCCTTATTTAAGGGGTTTAAGGGTTTAAAACCCCGTATTTAAGGTGAAAACCCCTTAAATCGATACTTGCGAAAACCTTTTAAATCAATATAAGGGGTTTTGGAAGATCTGGGTACTAGTACTAGTACTAGTGCTAGTAGTACTACTAGTAGGAGTCTTAGTAGTAGTACTCGTAGTAATAGTAATCGTAGTAGTAATGGTCGACGCGCTACGCTGCCTGACACTTCAACATTTTCTGGAGAAGACTGCCTCGCGCCCCCTCGCCCCGGCTAGGGGCGCCTTCAAGTTTCTACTAACTGCAAGAGCGCTTGAGCACGGTTTCAAAAATTTCGTGCCCCTAGTGTTATCTTTGCCTTGTGGGCATGTACGGTCACGATCGAAGTTTCTCACCTGGATAATTTTCACGCCGGACGATATAGATCGCCGGCTCCGTTGGAAGAGTGACAACTCTGGACTGGACAAAATTTGAATTAGTGTTGTTGATCAACCTGTGGGTACTTGCACAAGGCGGACAGGGCCCTTTTGTACCTTGCAGGCGAACCGCACTAGCGGTGTAATCCACTCCACGAAGGAAGAACCCGCGTCTAGCAGGCAGGACGCCCGCAAGCGAGGTCACGACCCACCTCCAGCTGCTAAATCTGTCGGTAGCGGGCATAAGCTTACAAACTCCACCATGTCTAAGTCGGCTCTCAATCAGTCCTCGCCGAAAGCCCATTACTGCCTTTGACAAGACAACACAATCACAGAGCAAGGCCGACTCTTCCAGGCCTGAGTATGGTCGAGACAGCATGGCCCTGCAGAGTCTTCAAAATCAAGATCGAGCAGAGCAGAGCGGCCATACGGTTCGTTTTTCCAGATCTTTATGAACGCACTTTCGCTTAAAAGAGAACGCTACCTCTGCGAATGAACTGCAAACTGTATTTGATCATTGGGCACCCAAACGAGCGTCATCTTACTACAAAGCTCGGATGTTGTACGCGTGGAATGTCAACTCTGACACCCCTAAAACGATTATGCCAAGTTTCGACTCTTGCTCTCGTGGTTCGCTGTCGACCGGCGCAGGATCCTCTTCAGGATGGCTTGGCCCTTGGGGTGGATCGTCGGGGGCTGCCTGGTGGGTCATCTTCATCGAAAAAGCTCTGAGCAGAATTAGGAAGAGTCCTAGTGCATTTCCCTCAGGGATTTGCAATGGCTGCCCAGGACGTTTGTAAGGCTTCATCGGTCCCTCCACTTCATGCGCGGTAGGGTTTCCGGTGTCGTCAATGGGGATCCGGAGCAACCACCATGTGTAGCTGTTGTCTTACTAAGGATAAATGCAGACGCAAATATCCCACGCAGCTGGTCACGAGCAGTGATGGGGACGGCGCCCTGGAAGGAGTCGGCTAACCTAAGATAGTTGCCTTGCGCATTCTCAAGCAGGAGCTAATGCTTTGGAGATTCCTGATAAAGGGGAATTGCAGCAATGATATAGTTACTCCCAAGATGGTAGTGCGTTCTTAAATGTTCCTTGAGAAGATCAGCGCACTCAGGCGCAGGCGTGGCAAAGGTAGCAGGGACCTCAGTCAATAGTATTTCAGGTAGCTCATAATGAGGTGACCGCCCTATAGTTCTGGGGCAGCTGCACCTAGTAAGCTGATCAACTTGAGATACAACTGAAATGACTAAGATGCTAGCTAACTCATAAAAGACAGAAGTTGGGGTATGTCCCATCGTTGAGCACTAACTGGAAGGAGGCGAAGCATCCACGGAGGCCTTCTGGCGCGCACTCACATACCCAGCTCCATTTTGTGTAGCAGGGTGCTTCCCAACCTGCGGGGAGTTTCTGTATGATGTTTCCAAGGGTCTCTTGAAAGGAGAGCAAACGCTTAACCGACCTTGTCAACTCGGACAAGACGTGCTCCAATGCGTGCGTACTTTCATACTGGAAGAGTTCATCAAGAGAGAACCCAGTGGACGACGCAAGCAAAGCGATTTGACGATAATTTCCAGGGTAACTCTTTGCAATTTTATTGGAGAGGGGCGCTAGAGACAATGTCCTATATGCTGCCCATACTGCGCAGTAAAAGGATTTGAGGACGAGAAGCGACTCTCCAAAGGCACATGGGGCTTTCAGAGTGCCTACGACACTGCACGTCTCCTCGGTTGGCTGAACGGACCCCGCGGAAGTGTGGATTCCTGTTTTCGAAGAAGCGAGGATTTCACATCCTCGGCAGACATGGAGGTGGGATCGCCCAGCAAGTAGCTGGACTGGAGGTGCTCCTTCATGTAGGTGCGGTGCTGCGAGGTCCCGATGCGCAGGTCGTCCAAAATCTTCTGGCAGAAGGGGCACTTCTCGTACCTGTAGTTGGCGAGCAGCACCTTGTCGGCCTCGCGGACCTGCTCGTCCGTGATCTCCGGCACCTTCATGTCCGGGGTCTCCGTGTGTGCTT